ATTTTGAAATATTTGAAAAATAAGTAGGAAATAACTAAAGCTGGGTTTATCAAATCTAATCAAATCAAATATGATAATATATATCAGTGTAAACAGTAAAAATATATATTAACTAGGAAATTCAACACCGGCTTTAAAAATTATTAATTAATAACAATAAATCCATCTCATTAAAATATCAAAAATGCAATGGGATATTTCCTAGAATCATACCAAAATTTGACACATGCCAAATTTTTACATAAATAAAGCCAGTCTGATTAGAAACACGCTCCAGTCTGCTTGATATTTCGAAATATTTAACAAATTGTTAGGAAATTACTTGTCAAAATTAAAATTGCTAATACATTAATGTTAGTAGTAAAAAAAATTCTATATATACCTCGGCTGAGAAAGCTATTATTTACCTCGCACATTATATCCCTCGGCGCTACGCGCCTCAGGATATAAAAGTGCTCGGTAAATAATAGCTCACTTCTCACCCTAGGTATATAATGTACTATTAATGACTTCTTAAGTTATATAAGGGTACTCGTGATTCCGCCATACTTGTTTACAAAAATCTTAAAAATACTGGAAACGAACCATGTATACAAAAACTTAATAATTAACCTATTTTTTTTTAAATAAATCCTGAATAAACATGTTTTGGTTCTGATGAAATATTGGAATAGTAAATGTTAGTAATAAGCTGTAAAATTAAATTTGGTTCATATATTTAAAGTAAAAATATAAACTAAAAATAATTAGTGGACATTAAAGTGGCCCTTATAGTATGAGAGCCCACTGCAAATTTCGACCGTCATCTGATAACGAAATGAAATATGCTCCAAAGGTATGTAACAACATTGTACTTTACCAAATTGCACCTGTGCCAATCCCTATCCTGAGCAAAGTGGTTAAAAAAATTATTTTATATTCAAAAAATCACATAAGACATGACAGCGACAATTGTATTTTCCCTGAAAATTACAATCCTAATCCATTGTGAATCTAGCTTTTAAACCTGAATTATTAATATTTTTACCTATCTTTTAAACCATGTTTGTGTGTGAAAGGAAGAAGGATGGCATTGAATAAACCATTTGCAGAGATAGTCAATAATAATTATAAACTCTTGCTAGACAATTATTTTAAACCATAATCATAGTAGTTTCTTTGTCGTTTCTATGGCAACCTGTAAAAATGGATCACAACAATAGGCATACAAATAAATTTTTAAATCAGCAAACATTGATTTACTGATTTTTACCTACTAATCGTGGATAGATTTTTTGGTGCAATGTTAAGAGGAAGAAAATGGTTTCCTTTAAAACGATATATATCAAGATATAATTAAATGTAATTTTCTGGAAAACTTTAAGAGCAAACAAAATTAGCACTGTCATGCCTTATGTGATTTTTTTAATATAAAATAATTTTTTTAAGCCACTTTGCTCAGGATTGGGATTGGCACAGGTGCCATTTCTATCTATCTGAATTAGGGCGTGGTTCAAAGCTCACTTGTACTGAAGCTCTAGGGTTATTGTACCCCTCACAGTTTTTATCCCATCAGATTGATTTTCTTGATGAATTCAAGAATATGTCTGAAGGGCGCTTTCGCGATTTCTTCAGGTTCCGGATATTGTACCCCGAAGTACCATTCCCGTTCCCATTTAAGGTTGCGGCGGTGGCATAGTATGTGAATAGGAGTTTCGTCCTCCTCTTCACATATTCTACATAGGGAGTCATCAGATATCCCTAAGAGATTTAGGTGTCTTCTAAGGCCGCAGTGTCCCGTAAGGAGTCCTATTACGGCCTTGAGTTCGCTTCTGCTAAGGTTTAGCAGTTGATATCTGCTCGTGGAGGGCCCCTCTATGAATCTTTTGGACTGTCTAAGTCTAGGAAGTTCCATCCAGAGCCTATGGTGTTCTCTTTTTAATGTTCCTTTAACACCCATTTAACATGTTGGTATGAGATATCACATGTGGGCTCTGGTCCTCTCCCTTCCTTGCTAGGAGGTCTGCTTTCTGGCATCCATTCAAGCGTGACCTTCTTATGTTCTGCCAGAGCCTGGAGGGACTGTTGGCAATCAAATATTGATTTAGATTGTACTTCTACCCTTTTTAGTACTTTAAGGGCTGCGTGACTGTCTGTCATGATAGCGATCCTCTTATATCTAAGAGAGTCATTTAGCATGACTTTGGCGCAGGCATTTATTGCTGTTACTTCAGCCTGGAAGACTGTTATCAGTGACCCCAGGTTCAAACTAATTGTCCTCCCTGAGTTCACATGGTAGATCCCAGCTCCTGTGCTGTTTTTCATTTTCGAACCGTCTGTATACCAGATTGATTCGTTTTGTTTTTCCCTATTATCCCGGCTTTTGGCCCTTTCTGGTATTTGAATATCAAAAGGTTTCCTGAAGTCGTGAATAATGGGCGTTCTATCCGATGGCATTCTTAGTACCGGATTTTGTTTTAATTTCTCTAATATCATTGTGTGGTGTCCTTTTCTCGAAAGTTCCCATCCAAATCCATTAGTAAACAGCCTGTATGCTGCCGCCATAGCCTCTTTCTCCACCACAAGGTGTAGTGGAGGAAGACCTAGCAGTAGCTCCATTGCTGCTGTGGGCGTAGTTCTAAATGCCCCTGTTATTATTAGACAGGCTAGTTTTTGTACCTTGTCTAATTTTCTGTTAGCTGTTATGCTTTTAGTCTTGTGCCACCATATGACTGATGAGTAAGTTATGACAGGTACTACAACCATAGTGTAAAGCCGGTGCATCATACTTGGTTTAATCCCCCATGCTTTCCCTACCATCCGTCTACAGGCCCATAGTATTCTTACAGCTTTTTCTGTTTTTTCTATATGGCTGCAGAAGCTAAGCTTGTCATCGAGAGTGATTCCAAGATATTTAACCTCCTTTGGCATTTTTAGATGTTGTCCCCACATATAAAGCTCCTTCATTCCTTGAAGGTTCCTTTTTCTTGTGAATGCAACAACAGAGGTTTTTGTCGGGTTTGTGGACAATCCCTCTGTTAGGCACCATCTTTCGACGATATTTAGTGCCCGCTGCATCTTTTCGGATACAACAGTCCCAAATTTACCGTTTACTACGATGCTTATGTCGTCTGCAAATGTTTGCGTGTATAAGTTTTCTCTCACTAACTCCCATAAGAGGTCATCAACCACCAAGGTCCACATAAGAGGAGATAACACTCCTCCCTGCGGGCATCCCTTGCTAACTAAGACCTCTCTTGTTGTGTTAAGGAGATTACTGGTAATGGTTCTATGATTAAGCATGAACTCTACCCACCTCGTAATGTAGTGGGCTACTCCACGCCTTTGCATAGATCCCAGTATTAAATTGTATGAAGCCGAGTCAAAGGCTCCTTCTATATCTAGGAAGACTCCTAGTGCTATTTCTTTGCTTTCCAATGCTTGTTCAACCTGTTGAGTTAGCCTATGTATGGCTGCATCGCAAGACTTTCCAGATTGGTAGGCAAACTGGTATCGATGTATCGGTTTATCCCGTAGAACATCGTCCCGTATATATCTATCAATCAATTTCTTCAATGTTTTTAGGAGAAATGACGTCAGGCTGATTGGTCTGAAAGATTTGGTCTCCTCGTACGACGCTTTCCCAGGTTTGGGAATGAAGACCACTCTTGCACACCTTCAGCTTTGTTGAACATATCCGAGGGCTATGCTAGCTCGGAATAGTTTACACAGTGGTCCTTCGAGTACTTCCTGGCCCTTTTGTAGAAGTGTCGGGATTATACCATCAGGTCCAGCTGTTTTGAATGGTTGAAAGGAATTTATCGCCCACACAAGTTTTCTTCTGTTTACTATTGAGTTTGCAAGAGACCAGTTTGTTTTTGAGGCCCTAGAAATTAGTGTCTCAGTACTCCTGTTCTCTTGGTCAAGAATAATCTTACATCCAGGAAAGTGTGACTTTAGTAGTAAATCTAAGGTCTTCTCCTCTGTTTTTGTGAGTTCTCCTTGTTGATTTTTCAAAGATCCCATGCGTTTTCCTGAGTCTGGTACATCCTGGAAGGCTTTCAATGCCGTCACAGGTGCCATTTGGTAAAGTACAATGTTTTTTCATGCTTTTGGGGTATATTTCATTTCGTTATCAGATGACGGTAAAAATTTGCAGTGGGCTCTTGGGCTATTACGTTTCTTTGAAGTATCTCATTAACTTTCGCAATGAAATACGAATCCCACCAAACTTTTAAGTCACCCAACAGTCAGTAAAATCCAACAATAATAGTACATAGGTTTTTTAATTTTATCGTGATTCTCCATTTTTGTTTCTATCGATGATGCCTAACCAGAACATAAAATTTTATTTTATTATTAGAATAGAGAAAGATTATAAATAAATAAGTGTATCTGAGAGAGAAGAGTAAATAGGTCTTGACAAATGACAGAGTAAGAAATGGCAATGATCAAGTAACGAAACTCTGGTAACGGAAACATGTACAACACTATGGGGGTTATGATTGACAACCTGTGTTATATTTAACAGGTCTGTTATTTTATAAACACACAGAAATTACAACCGGTTCACAAATAACGTGTCTGTTAAAAATAACATTACTTGTCCATCATAACCCCGTATATTATATTACTATAGGTGTTCAAACGAATTTATTTGTAAGTTATTTAGTGGTTTCCACAATGTTTCTGTTACTATTACTTATACAACTTTAAGTTATTAGCGTTACTAAACAAAGGTGTTCGCAATCTTTATAAATTCCCCAAGCTATTTAAGAGGTTTATAGTAGCAAGAGAAATGTTACGGTTGCCAAGTATATAACTGTAAGTTTTATAAGTAAAGTGTAAAAGTAACGGTAACTACTATACAATCAAAAATGTTTATTGGGAGCCACAACTAAGAATAAAAAAATATTGGTTGGTTATTGAAAAAAAAATCATGTGTTCTGACTTTCTCGTGACAACCAGTGGAAAAGGATCGAAAACAAAAACAAAACTGGAACAAAATGTAGTCCGCTTGATGGAAACAAGAGTTTTGGGTTTGTTGCAGTTTTGTTTTTGTTTTTCAAGTTCCAGAAAACAAACAAAACATAAATTCAACTATCCGTTTAGTGGAAAACCGTCATAAGATTAAGTACCTATTGCTCAAATGAGCTTTGTCATTTTAGCCTACTGTAAATTTTGTAGTTATGCTCTTTAAATGTCATTTATGTAGGATTGTCAACTGGTAAATTTTTCCGATTCAAAATTTGAATAAAGAGAATGGGGGATGAGGGCGGAGAATATCCACCGTATATAATTAGTTTTTTTACAGAGGTTATTGGTACAGCCATAATGATGTATATTGGTGAGTAATGAAGAATTTTAATTTTCAATTCTCGTCTTGTAATGTCTAATATATAATAGTGTTTAATTGTAGGTTGCATGGGATGTATACAACATCCGGAACTCGGACCAATTGTACCATCTTTTGCGTTTGGTTTAAGCATTTTGGCAGTTATACAGATATTCCATCATATTGGCCCTGTCCACTTAAATCCCGCAGTATCAATTGGTTTCCTTATCGTGAGTAAAATTGCATGGCAGAATTTTTTGGTTTATCTAGCTGGCCAGTTTATTGGAGCCTTTGTTGGATATGGGGCGCTCTTCGTAAGTTTGCCTCTTATTTTAATATGCATGTCATCATCCTACACGATACGAAAAAAAAAAGAGATGCAGAAGAATTTCTATAATATACAATTATTGTATATTTTATTATCTATACTAAATAGCAGAAATAAGGACACCATTTCCAGTAAATACCTCGTTAAAATATTTTTTTTTAAATATATTGTGATGTTTGTTTACTTTCAAATAACAGTTTATTAATTAATAATTTATTTAAACACTTATTTATTTATAACACTACTATTTCTAATTTATATAAATTTCGAATGTCTTTGAATCGTTCACTATTTATATCCACAGTCCAATACTTTATTGTCAGCTGTCTATATATCACTGATTACTATTTATCTTCACTGTCCATATAATAACTGAACTGATGGCTTATCCACCAATATTTATATACAAATTTCTAAAATTTGGTGGAGTCGCGAAGCTTCTCCACCAAACTAGAAATATTTCGAACAGTCCAGAAATATTATCTCGTCCTTTCTCGATCATCATCGAAATCACCTCCGCCATAGTCGTCCCATAGGTTTGGTCTTAAGGGGTTTAATTATGTATAATAATCGGACAAGTTGAGCCTTAAAGGCCAAATAAGACAGAGAGGGACTTGTAGGGTTAGAGCATGACTGAATAATGAAATGGCTCACATTACAATATATATGCATTATGTTATAAGAAATGTTTTACAGATTTTTCTATTTTCCTCTTTCGATTATACGAATTTATATTAAAAATATATTGCATATCATTACTAATGACAATGCATAGGGTATGTCTATAACTCAATTTCTCAAAGTATTTTTAGTTCTAGCTGATCAAAATATTAATCTTTTGATAACCCTGTGTAGAACAAAATTGTTGTCTTTATCATTGAAATAGAATAAAGAGGAAATACTATGATGTTTCTAAATGTGTCCGCACCTTTGCATTACACTTTACGTCATGTGTCAAACTTGAGCTAGTGGAGCTAGCCAGTTAATGAGATTAAATGTAATTTTTATAAAATAGCTCCATTAAAATGATGTAAAAACATTTCCGTCAATCTTCAAATATAAAATTATTGACTTCAAATAAATTAAAATACGACTTATCGCAATTTTGATTACACTTTTCCAATATCTGTTTTTTAGTATATCCAACGATGAACAACTACTAGATTCATGTTTCACGTAATAATAATAATAATAATAAACTTTTATTCACACATAAAAAATAGAATTACATAAAAAATTTCAGACGTATAAATAATTTTTGGAATAAAGTATTTAGTACTATTGTACTTGTTTCGCTGTAATGTAATAATAATAATAATAATAATAATAATAATAATAATAATAATAATACTCTCCCTAATTCACCCCCTTACGAGTGAATTTTAACCCCAAAAGCTGAGCTTGTCCGGGGAAAGGGACGGCTATTATTATTATTTGCCGTGGCGCTCCGGGGCGACTTAAAGATGATTGATGGTGCCATTTGACTTACAGATGAGGAAAACCCGGAAAACCTCACCCACCATCATCGAGACGGTAATGTATGGCGAATTTTTTTAATCTGCATGTCATATCAACAGAAATTGAATTTCTATTAATACGCCACACATCAAATCCTAAACCGAACCATGCAATTTAATTAAAAAACCACATGGTCTGGTCTGGGATTCGAAACCCAGCAGTCTCAGACTCATAAACTTGCCTATAAATGAATATAAGCGCGATAGACCGCTACACCACCGTGCCCGATATAATAATAATAATAATAATAATAAATAATAAATAGATATTAAAATATCCACATATATACACGCATACATACACATATACATACATAAGGGTAAATATATACAGGGCGAGGCACCGAAAACGAAACAGATCGAATTTTTTTTGGAGAAAATGCAAAAAGAGGTCGATTTTTGTTTCAAAGGAGACATCTTTCGATCATATCCTCAACTATCCTACATCATTCCCCACCCTTCTATCACTATTACCAATGAAATTGAAATAGGGAAAGTACTAAGTGTGATACATCATTGAAAAGGTAATTTTATAAGGAATTTGACTGTGTGACAGTTTATTACTTAACTTTTGATTTTGGCGCCATCTTGCGGGAAAAGTTTCCGTAATTTAAATAATGATACTTCATTTGAAAGTAAAACTCATTTAATAGACAATTCATATTAAAAAAAAAAAAAATAATAGAAAAGTGAACATAAAAATTAAATTGAAAAATTTAGGATAACTCCCATAATTAAAAACTAAATTACTTCAAAGTGTTGTCCATTAACTTCCATACACGAATATAAATTTTTCTCAAATCTTTGTCTGACGTTTTGGAGCATTTACAAATATATACAGTATGCGTCCAAAAACTAATAATTTTTTTTTTGATATTGCACATACTTTTTCACTCATCTTAATTGTGTCTGTAATGTTTTATTTCTGTTTCGTAAGTTTGAAGCAGTACTGTTGGCAACAAAAAAGTCTTCGTAATGACCGATTTTCTAGAAACTTCAATGTAAAGTTACCAAAAAAATATCTAGGTTTTCTGAAATAGGTATGTATCAGCTTAGATCAAATCCAATGGTTGATTTACTTCTTAATTAATGGTAACTCAAATTTTGTTGATGAGAATTTCAGAGTCAAGCCTTGAACTTAATATTGAAGCGTGTCATCGACTAGACTATTGCCTATATACTTGTTTTATGTTGTTAACTAAAGTCTATTCAGATTTCATTTACGCCGCGTCAAAACAATCTCTCCCATCCAACAACAGCTCACGTGGCATTTTCTTTGCGCTTCTATTGGTTAATCGGTCGTTAGTCATTTAGACGCGCAAATATTTTTTGTCAGAGTCGAATTCAGTTCAATTTGGATAATTATAAACGGCGTTTTGGTAGCATTCACCGTGTTGGTTAGTTTGGACATTTTGTATGTTTGATTGATTATAATTCATTATATTATAGTTTAGATATACATATCGTTTAGTGAGAACATCAGTGGCGTAACTCAAAAATACACGTTTTTGACTTGTTTACTTCAAAAAATTGCTTAATGTAGCCCGCAACTAGTACATAACTGGCGAAATTATAGTTCTACTACTGTCCGCTCGGTGGCTGTAGTTGTCAGTAATGCTTGGTATTTTTATTTTCACCTTCGAAGGCAATACTTACGCCTTTTGTGTATATAAACTTTTCTAAGCAACAACGTCTTAAAGTTGAAACGCAACACAACTATTGCAAAATGAATTATGAAAAATTAATAGAAAAACTAAGCACAGAAAAGTGGAATGAGGTAAATAATAATATTTCAGGAGCACAACTAGCTTATGACATTTTCATAAACAAATTAAATAACTACATACTAGCTTCCCAGGAAATAAAAACAATAAACAAAAAATATCAAAAGATTAAGCCATGGATTACAAAGGGTCTAATTACCTCTATCAAACATAGAGATAATCTGAACATAAATCTAACAAAAAACCACTCCACCGAACTTGAAAACCAATATAAGAGTTACAGAAATAAACTTAATAAGTTAATTAGGACAACGAAAAACAGTTTTTATCAAAAAAAGCTGCTTCAAGCAGGGACGAACTACAAAAAAAATTGGCAGATTATTAATGATATCACTGGACCAACAAAAAAATCTAAACACATAGAAAATATACCAATTATAATTATAATTATAATAATGAGCTAATAACTAATTATAAGGAAAAGGCTAGTATATTTAATAGTTTCTTTGCTTCATTAGGTGTAAATATGGCAAACAAAATACCTCAAGTAAACCTCCCTCCGCATTTTCTCAAAAATGAAAAAATAAACTCTAGTATATTTTTAAAACCAGTTACTGAAAACGAGGTAATACAAATTATATCAAAACTGAAAAATAACTGTGCCCCGGGTCCAGACAATATAGATTCAAAAATTATTAAAAATATTCATCAATATATCGTCTCCCCATTAGCACACATTATAAACCTAGCATTGCAAAGCGGGAAAATTCCTCATCAATGGAAAGAGTCAGTTGTCATCCCCATTTTCAAATCGGAGGACTCTAGTAAGCCAGTAAATTATAGGCCAATATCTCTCATTAACAATTTTGCGAAGATTTTTGAAAGTGCTCTTAAAGAAAGATTAATTAATTTCTTTTAATCGCATAATATCATTACTCATTCTCAATATGGTTTTATAAAAAAATCTAACACCGAAAACGCGATATTGGACTTCTTAGAGGAAACTGTGTCCGCTTTGGACAACTCCATGGGATGCATAGCAGTTTTCTTGGATTTGGCCAAGGCGTTTGACACCGTCTCTCACGAAATCCTTCTAAGCAAACTAAGTAACTACGGTGTTAGGGGATTGGCTCTTGAACTTATTTCGGATTATCTGTCAAATACAAGTCAGCAAGTCAAAATTGGTAAAGAAATGAGTTCTGGTACTATCTTAAAAATTGGTGTACCACAGGGAACAGTATTAGGTCCAATACTGTTTCTGGTCTACATCAATAGCATAACTAAAATAAATGGTTTCTCTGGTCATCTAGTATGCCATGCTGATGACACAGCATTAGTTTTTAAAGGCGAAAAATGGGATGAAATTCAACATAACGCAGAAGCTGACTTAAAAAAGGTAAACATGTGGCTAAACACCAACCTTCTAACTCTAAATATTAAAAAAACAAAATTTATTGCTTTTAGTCCAACTATAGTAAACCAACCACCTAATTTTACATTAAAATTACATTCACAAGTTTGTGAACCAAACTGTAAGTGCCCCCCTTTAGATAAAGTAGAAGCAATAAAATACTTAGGAGTTATAGTAGACCAATACTTGCGCTGGTCTGATCACATCATACACCTAAGTAAAAGAATAAGAGCTCTAATGCATAAATTTTACGTGCTTCGGCAGATTCTATCACGAAAAAGTTTAATCATGCTATACAACTCATTTGTGGAATCCATTCTAAGATACTGTATTA